TCTGTTCAGGAGAACAGGGCCAGACAATGTGGTAGCCCCTCAGCTCTTCCCTCGTACCTAGTGTGTTTACCCAGTCATCACGGAGGAGAGATTATAACTGCTATAATTAAAAGGTTGCGCCAGAAGGCTGTATAAAGGAGTGGCTAAAATACGTGTCAGATCTGCAGCTCTGCTACAAGGCCAGCTGCACTCCCCTCACTGAAGCTCAGTTTCTTCTTGTGCAATGTGAGGATGTCACAACAGTCTCATCTTTCAAGGGACCTGAGTTTTAAAGTCAGTGCTTAATACAGTAACCAATTGCAGACAAATTATGCTGTTTCTTTTTAAGCATCAAATGAAAGAGTTGACTTGCACTTAGGAACTGCATTGTATGAAGAACACGTAGCTTTAACTACTCTAAGTCTAGGGCAAGGATTCAAAGCACCAAGAGGTTCTCAATCTGAGAGACACATGGGCCCTGAGAGGCAGTGGGGGACTCTGGATTTATAGCCCTCGGCCCTTTCTCCATCCGGGGCACCCACTTTTTGGTTCAAATGTCAGGCAGAACTGGCCTGAAATCACTAACCCACACTTTCTTCCTTTTTCTTGCACACTCCCCGCCACCCACTCTCATCTTCTCCCTTGTTGGAATTCCAGCCAGTTCAAATCCAGTTTGATGCAATTCAACTAGAATACACGCATCAAAGGGACAACTTTCAAGAACTGAACGAAATATGCATCTGCGCCTGTAGCCAGGGTGCACCCTTCACATTTCTCTTCCAGAGCCAACTGGCTGCCAGCATTGCTGTGGAGCCTGCTGGCCTCCCGCAGCTGCTGCCCCAGGATCAGCTCTTCCCGGCAGCTCCCAGCCTGTTTGAGTGTGGGGAAACCAGAGCCAGGCCACTCCTGCCCAGTTTGGTCTCCTCTGATGGGCAGGGCAGTCTTTGCCCTGGGGCTCTCTTGGGGGCGTCGTGAAGACTTTTTCAGAACTGCCCTGCACGTTGAAGGTATCATCCAATCCTGCCTTCCCTTCCATCCTTACCCTCTAAGATGCAGACCAGCATCGTGGTTTGAGGCTTTCCCCAATTCTGTCTTGTCACCTGCTTCCCAGAGGACCTGGGCTGACACGACGTATAAAGTACAGGGCATAGAATAAAGGTTCGGGAGATGTTAGGTGTTACTGTTAGAACAATTAGGATTTGATTAAACTAATGACTCCACTAACAGAAGACACTCAGAGAGGCACATATTCTCATGATGACCTGATTCAAGAGTCCTTGGTAGACTCTCAGGCCTCGCCTAGCCTGTCTACCCCTGTGGCATCATTCCAAGGAGATCATCCTGCTTTTCCTAATGCTTCGTGGTGCAGAGGGAATTTCAAAACCCACTAGAGGATTTGGTAAAAGCTTCAGAATTAGCTGGAAAACATGGGCCTCGGCAGCCCTCTGTCTTGGCAAGAACAAACACCATGGTCCTAAGAGCCTTCTTAAAACAAGTATTGCTGAAAGCCACATTCTTTAAACAACAGAGCCTTTTCCGAGGGAGTTCTGTGTGAAGTCATTTTGGTCTACCTAGTGTGTGTATTCCTGGTGCACACGGGACATTGATTTGTCTTGCAGAGGAAAATGATGGTCAAGGCAGCAAGGGAAAACCTAAGGGTCTCTGAACACACCCATCAATCTGCAGCCCTAAAGCATGGCCACTAGAGCAAAAACACTTTTCAGTGACAGGTCCCCCAAATACTGTTGAAAACCCTCTTACGATGACAGCTATAAACTCCATTCTCCTGAGATCTAAGAGGCCGGTTCTGATTCAGTGACCACAGCCTTCACATAGTAGCTATCAACAATATGATAATGGCTTGTGATGAAGGTGTTGCCGATGTTCGGCTTACTGCAGCAGAGAAGCAATGAACGATCAACGGCAATTAGGTGCTTAATAAAACCACTTTGGAGACGCTGCTGCTGAAAAGATTGTCACAGGTGGCACAAGAGACTCAGCAATCAATCCCAATGAAGTCCATGGCTGTTTTTCTTTTTGAAAGCACTTCCTCCATCAAATACAGACTATGTGACTTTTGCTCCATCTGAAGGAAGGGGAATCAACTTTCATCTGATTACTCACAGAAAAGCCACGGGTACAATGATCACTGAAGTAGACCCCGGACACACTTGGGTCAAGGGCAAGACTGGGGAGAGGTAAGAGGAAATCCCAGTGATAACCTAGAAAGGGAAGAGCAGACACCCATCACAACTGCACACTCCCCGCCTTTGGGGCGGGGAAAATGATATCAAATTACTAGGAAAAACAAATGGGATTGTAGTTACTTATCTCTCTACAGATTACTCAGTTGAGCTTTCCACTCCTGTTTCTATTATACCAAGTTCACTCTCGCTTGATATACCTTTTGTACCAGAAAGAACACTGGTTGGTGAGCATGATAGACCCAGGCCTGAGCATGGTTCTGAGCCTTCCCTAGCTGTGTGGCCACGGGCAACCTACCTCTCTCAGAGACTCGGTTTCCTCATCTGGAAAACAGAAATAAGAATAACTACCCGACAGGGTTTTGTGAGACAAAATACCCACATGGGTGTGAGAGGCCTCAGCATCTTGTCCCAACAGATTTAAAATCAACTCACAAAGCCTAGCCTGTATCCATTTCTCTGCCCCCGTGGCACCATTCCAAAAAGATCACTCTGCTTGTCCTCATGCTTCACTGTGCAGAGAAAATTTCAGCTATCATATCACATGTGACAGATGCATGGCCCAGAGAGCAAAACTGCTGTCCTATATTTATCATTGGCCCTAAGAAATAAAAACGAGGGATTTTTTTTAATACTACAGTTGTGAAATCTCACATTAACGTTAAAGAGTTTGGGAAGTATCATAAAAAATCCACAAGATGGGGTGCCTGGGTGGTTTGGTCAGTGGGGCATCCGACTCAGTTTTGGCTCAGGTCATGAGATCAAGCCCTGCACTGGGCTCTGCACTCAGCAGGGAGTCTGCTTGAGAGTCTCTCTCTCCTTCGTTCCTCTCCCAGCTTATGCGTGTGCTCTCTCTAAAATAAATAAATAAATCTTTAAAAAAAACCCCACAAGATGGCTGGGTAACATCATCATCATCATCATAATTAACATCTCATTAATTACTTTATTAAATTCTAGACACTATTTTAAGTACCTTACATTGATTACTTCATTTAATCCCCAGACTACTCTATGAGGTAGGAACCATTATTCTCCCATTTTACAGATTAGAAAACTGAGGCACAGTGAAATTTAGTAACTTGTACAAGGTCACACAACCTGCAAGTAACAAAGTCTAGTCTTGTATACAGGCATTTTGATTTCCAACCCTGTGTTCCTACAAGTATGCCAAAGACGGGACTTCCAGAGTGGCTGGCAAAGTTCTATTTCCTGACCTGAGTGATGTTTGCTGTATATTTTATTCATGTGGTTTTCTGAATCAGTTTTAATCTATTAAAAATAAAAAGTAATAATACTAGTAGCTAAAATTTTGTCACTTGATGCTTTGGGCAAAAATGGATGTGTTTTGCAATCACAGGCGCAAAATGATGGTTCTGCAATATTGTAATATTTGTCTCATGGGGCACCTGGCTGGCTCAGTTGGAAGAGCATGGTGTGACTCTTGATCTTGGGGTCATTAGTTCGAGCCCCATGTTGGGTGTAGAAATTATTTAAATAAATAAAACTTAAAAAAAAAATTTTGTCTCAGATGTTTAGGACCCTGGCACAGAAGGAAATGGAAATTGTATTTTTAATGTGTGGTAGGAGGTGCTGTTGTTCACCAGAGTCCAGGGGAAATGGGGAAATGGTATAAGGGAAGCATTTTTATTTTGGCATGCTGAATCACTCTCTGCCTTGACTCAATACTCAATATTCTTCTCAACATTCATTTACTTCTCCCTTCACATACCTGTCTCCTCTTCCTCTCTCCTTTTCTCTTCTTAACCTCATAGCCACGCCCTCCTAGTGCCCTTCTCCTTGTCTCTTTCTCCTTTTCTTATAGAGAACCCGAAAACATTTCTTATTGGTTTTATTCATTGAATATTATGATGTACTGCTTAGTCTTCATTAAAAATTGAATGAATTGTTTCATTTTCCCCCATATTTTCCCAGAGATATATAGAAATAAAAATTGTTGACTAGATTGTAGACAAACTTCAATTAATCCTCCTGAATTAAGTTTACATTGACACAGGTACCCCTTGATTGACTTCTGTTTTCCTAGCTTAATGGTTAATACAAAACTTTTGTACCTTAAGAAATTTTAGGACTGGAAAGGTTACCATGTTATGGCCTAAGAGGAAAACGAAGTTTGTGAGCATAAGTAGCCCAAAGCAATCTTACTCCTTAAATACCTCTTGTTTTTTTTTTCTCTCCTATAGACGCCCAGCAAAGAAATCATATGCCAGGACTGTTTCTTAGCCTGTGACCCAGATAGGGATTAATCTTGCTATTGTAAAAGAGATCTATGCCAAGGACCTACATTCAGAGACTCCAGCGCTGTATGTAAGGATGGGCCCGCAAAGGCTGGGTGTGGCCAGAAAGATCATGCCCTAAATCCAGAATCTCTGGGCCTCATTCCCAGAACTAATTTGTGCACTAGGACATGACCCAAAAAATCTGATTACTGGGCAGAAAAGTATATTTTTAAAAATCTCCTTCTCTCTGCTAAAGAGACACTTGCATTCTTTATTTAACAGCTGAATCTAGGGTGCTCCTCAGTGTAGCATGTATCATCTTCCCACTTGAATAAGTACTGGTACTCCAGCCCTTTCCTCATCAACACAGTCCACACCAGAATCTCAGAACTCCATGGGGCCCTGCCTGCCCCTGGCACCTTGGAAATAAAGACCCAGCACATGGGGCCTTTATAACAAGCCCTAGTCCCCCACCCCACTTCAAGTTCTAAGACTTCCTTGACTCTCTCTTTGGGAAGTCACAGCCCGATCAGGACCTCACACAGTTCTACTACATCGGCTGGGAAGCAGCATATACCTGTTGGAATGTTCTGTAAGAAGGCCGGGATCCCTCATCCTTGACCTCTTCCCCTGGGGCTGAGAACACTATTTCTTCTTCCTCCTCCTCACTGTCTTCAGAACAGGAATCAAAGGCATCAGCATAATACTTTTCAGCCACAAGCGGGTCTTCTGGGATCTCTGAAATAAAGAATAAACAACAATCGGGTCCTACCAGTCATTAAATTATAATGAGTCTAGGACCCCCCCCATATTTTCCCAGAGATGTATATGTTTGCACTGACAAAGCTTTCATGGAGTGTAGAGCTGAATCTCAGCTTCCTGAAAGTATCTGGTTGACTTTAATAAATACTCAGAAAAATTAAACCAGTAGAAGAAAGGAGGGATAACTCTATTTGCAACCATATTTTGAAGGTGGAAGGATAAAACGATGAAACAAGAAGAAATGATCTCCTTTAAAGTCTCTACATTCAGGGACACCTGGGTGGCTCAGTTGGTTAAGCGACTGCCTTCAGTTCAGGTCATGATCCCGGAGTCCCAGGATCGAGTCCCACATCGGGCTCCCTGCCTGGCAGGGAGTCTGCTTCTCCCTCTGACCCTCCCCCATCTCACGCTCTCTCTCTCTCTCATTCTCGCTCAAATAAATAAATAAAAATCTTTAAAGTCTTTACATTCACAGGCATGAATCCTTATTACAAATGAGGGGATTTAGGAGCAAATGCCAGATGAGATGCCTTGGCTGTGGGACCCTATTACACACCCACATTAAACTTTTGCAGAGGCAGTTGGAATGGAACTCTGTCAGCACTCTTCCCGGTTCTTTCTTTTTTAAAGAAAGTATGAGTGGTGAGACCAGGCAAGATGGGTAGGATATATAGCAATGGCATTTGGGCGAGCTGAGGAAAACATTATGGTTCTTTCCCAACAGACTATGAAGGCTTTTGAGATGGAGTTCACTCTGGGACCCTGCTTACTCACCTCTATATGTGGCATTTATTTATTTATTTTTTTAAGATTTTATTTATTTGTGAGAGAGAGAGAAAGAGCATGCACAAGCAGGGGGAGCTGCAGACAGAGGGAGAAGCAGGCTCCCCATTGAGCAAGGAGCCTGATACGGGACTCGATCCCAGGACCCTGAGATCATGACCTGAGCTGAAGGCAGACCCTTAACCAACTGAGCCACCCAGGTGCCCCTATTTTTTTTAAAGGAAAGACCACCCACTTAAGTTGATGCCAAGAAGTGGCTAAGTCATTTGATGCAATGTTATTACTAATTAAAAGTGTAATTGGTGCTTATAATGGTTTCTAGCCAAGAAAGGCCAAGAATGGATCACAAAAAAACACAGCGATATCAACCCCAATTTACTAATGAAGGCCTAGAAACAGGGAAATACCGTTGGGGAGAGGAGTGAATTACAGAGTGAGACCCCACCACATTAAAACCATGGGCATAGGGTAACCTAGCAGGGCAGGTAGCTATGAAGATTCTGTAATAGGATTCTTACGAAAGCTTTGTCTATAGGCAAACTTTATAAAACGTTCACTCAATTTCCACATCTGTAAAAATGGACTTTTCGTTAACTGAATTCAGAATCCTCCAGAAGTAAGATACTTAGCAGGCTACTTTAAAATCTTTGCTCCCTATGGTTTCCCATAAAACACAAGAAGCAGTGCCATGGCATCAAAATTAGCTCAAAAGACAAAAATAACATATACTCAAAACTGCCTTTGCCAGTTCCTTAGGAAGGAGCATATTGGGCATTTCGGTAACTCCAGCACAGCCTGTTTTTCCCTTCAGATCACTGGTTTTCAGTTGAGCAGCAGATGAAATAGATTATTTATATATAGGGGTCACGTTTTGTAAAAATCTTTATTGAACTCACACTCAGAATGGCTCAAGGATCACAGCAAGAGAAGTTTGTGAAAACTAACGTCAACCGAGAAGATAATTCAAGTCTCTAGTGTTGTCCTCAAGTAGGGAAGGGCATCTGCTGGCTGAATGGAATGGTCGACAGGACCACGTGACTTCCTGCGTCTCTTCCTCCCCCCGCCCTGCCGTGTCTCTCTCTTTCTTGTCCATTTTCTACCCCCCTTCCCACTCCCTCCTATTTCCTCTTCCTTTCCCAGAGGCTCTCTGTCTCTTTGACAGTTATTCATTCGTTTACTTATTCCCTATTTTCTCCTTCTTTCCCTCTATTCCTCCTCTCCTCCTCCTTTAGCCAGAATATTTGCTTTCAAATTTGACTGTGACACAATAAGAAATATCATTTCCATTTTGTTGTTCAGCACACAGAAATGTGCTTGTATTTGTGTATGAATATAAATATATTTATAGTTGAAATGAAAGTTTCATGCATCAAGATTTATCCATACTTAAACATGACACATTCTGGTCTTCCACATTCTATTCAATTTTTTTTTTACAATGCTAGTTGCAACTTGTTAAACTGATTTCTCAACACACAATCTGAAAAACACCTGCTGAGAATGCTGGCTTTAGAATCCAAAAGACCTGCATTTAAATCGAGGCTCTAATATCAGCTCTATAACAGGCATTATTTAAACTTCCTGTACTTCAGTTTTCTCATCTGTAAAATGGAGATGATCATAGCCATCTCTTAGGATTGTTGTGAACATTAAATACTATAATGGATACAAAGCACTGTGTACATGGTAGGCATCAAATAGATGTCAGTTACTAACATGTAACACAAAACTCTGTATATGTTTTGCCCATAATGCACAACACCAGGAAGAAATATAAATATTAGACAATCACAGATATATACCAAGTTTAATTTTATACACACACACAAAATAGAATCGCTTCTCAAAATCCACAGCATACCCATTTCAAATGGGCACTAAGGCAGCGGGCCAAATCATACAGACAAACCGTTCTCTTGATAAATACTGAGCCCCACCTCCCATAACATGGCTCCTACGCACAAGTCTTAGTCTCAGAGGAAAGACTCTGTCTCACCAGGGATCCCCTCCCCCAAAGGAGAGGAAGGAAAGAAATGGTGGGGGGTGGGGGGGGAGTGCCACTCTGGCACTTATGCCTCAGTCAGGAAACAGACTGGGATGAATCCACCTCCAGTATTTCTTAAACAAGCACCACTATCTTGGTGCAGCTCAAAAAAGAGTTCATTTTCAAAAGGAAAAGTCAAAAGAAATCTAAGTCTGCTCAAACTGTGTTTGTCAAGCTATGTGTTTTTTGTACGTGGGCCCAACTGGGAGCCTTGTTAGGCTAAGGCTCATTTCTCCTGTCATTGAGGGAAAATGGTCTGTGATAAATAGCTTTAATTTCCTCGCACCCTGAAGTCAGCCTCATAACAGATGCGCTGGAGCGGCATTCCAGATCTCTACTAGGCTGGGTGGGCAGCGACAGTGTGTTTATGAAGGAATCCAATTATGGCTGCCTCAGCCTGGGTACGGTTGCTGCAGATCCACGACAGAGAAAAAGAGAAGCAATCACCCTGTTCCATGAAAAGGATGCTGTTTGCCAGACCCTTCAATTAAGACCTTAATAGGGGCACCTGGGTGGCTCAGTCAGTTGAGCCAGCGACTCTTGGTTTCGGCTCAGGTCATGATCTCAGGGTCGTGAGATCAAGCCCTGAGCCGGGCTCCAAGCTCAGCATGGAGTCTGCTTGAGATTCTCTCCCTCCCCTCTGCCCTTCCCCCTGCTAGTGCTCTCCCCCACTCAAATAAATAAATAAATAAATAAATAAAATCATTAAAAATAAAAAAGACCCAAATAAACCCCTTTCTCTAAGACTTCAGTGAGCATCAGGACCACTTGCAGGGATTGTTATAACACAGATCACTAGGCCCCACCCAGTTGCTGATTCAGTAGATCTGGGTCGAGGCCTGAAAATGTGCATTTCAAACAGGTTGCCAGGGGATGCTGGTGCTGCTGGTCTGGGGCCACAACATCCAAACTACTGTTCTAGGATGTCACCAGTTCAAATAAAAGTACTATCATATATTATTACATAGATGTACTATAATAAAATACATAAGACTATAATATCTCTACATCTTCCAAGCCTATATATTACAGACCCCCAAAATGAAGAAATAAACCTTACCTTAGAAGAGTGCAAACTGTTGTGCCATTAGTTTCTCAACTACTCACAATTTCTGCGAAGTTTTAGGGTGCTATTCCCATTTTACTGACGGGGAAGAAGAAAGCTATGATGAGCAGCCCAAAGTTACAGCACTTCATAGTTTGCAAAAGCACATTCATGTCCATTATTCCATTTAATCATTGCAACAGTTATTCAAGTTAGACCAGGACAATGATTTTATCTCATTTTTCAGATCATGAAAATGAGATTCAGACAGGCTAATAATCAACCGAAAGCCACATAGCTGTATGCAGGGTGGACACTAGATTAGAACACAAATAACCTGAATCCTATCTTTTTCCCATTGAATGGTGCTATTTCATGGTTAGCTAGGGATTTTCATGTTTGCTAGTAAAACCAGGTCATGGATAAAAGTCATGATAGTCTTCCCCCACCACTCTGAAAGATGTTGGACAGGAAGGGATAGACTTTTGACTTCTGAGATGGGAAAACTAAAACTTATTCATCCTGGTGAACTGTCTGAAAGGAGCTGGGAATAGTGAATGCCAGGGGCCCTCCCTTAGATTTAGCCCAACTGTCACTCCCCTCGACCTCAGATGTGCTTGAACTACAGTGTACATTGGGATCCCCCTGGAGGCCTGTTCAAACAGATTCCTGGCCCCATGCCCAGTGGTTCAGATGCAGTGGTCTGGGGGGGTGGGCAGGATGGCGAGAGTCTATATGATGCTGCGGCCAGTCTGGCAACACACTTTGAGAACTACTGTTCGACCTCCTAGGACCTTCAAGGAGAAAATGACATACAAGCACAACTGTTTAATGAGCCATTCCCCCATACTTCGCCTATTATTGTGCCAGCTCTTCAAACTTCTAAAATGATCAGAAAAATGCATTAAAAATTTTTTTAAAAGAGGCAATAAAACCAGAATTTTGCCTAAAGTCAAAACCAAGTTTCCTTTAAAGGAGCTTAGTTATGTAGCAGGAATACCTCAGCCTGTGCACCTGCCATCATCCTGAATGATTCTAACCATTCTGTATGCCTTGAGCAGATGCATGCCATGAGCTTAGCACAGTGGTTTTCAAAGGGTAAGA